TTTTCAAATCACACTGTGTATTATCTCCCTTTTACCCCTCACACTTTAGCTATAGGTGGAATTGTGCAGTGTGCAATCACAGAGACAATACTAATTTTGACAGGTTCTTTCTCTACCTTGAATGGTGAAAGCTCCATCAAGAAAGGAGTTACGGGGCCAGGGATATAACTCAGTGGCACAGCACCTGCCTGGCAAGTGCAAGGTCCTGAGTGTTGATTCCCAGTACAGAAACAAATCAGTAAATAAATAAATGAAAGGAGTTACAGGACGGCAGGCGATATTCCAGATCAGATGGATAGTCTTCGCTCCAAGTGATGTTGGCGTTGCCTCCAATGTGTATAACACTTTCTTCCTCAACACTTGAGAGGTGGAAACTGGTTACTTGGTAACACTTCCTGTGCTTTTTATTCTGCTTACAAGGTAGATCTCAGTCAGTTGTGGGACTTGAAATATGGAAACTTTTTTGAATCCCTTTTTATGAATTATTTAAAAAACATTTTCTGAATGAAACACTACTACTTTCATTTTATTGATGAAGTAATTGAGAAGGACAAAAGTAATTTTTTTCAAGGATGCATAAATATATCTGGCAGAGACAAGATTTACATGAGAGCATTTGACTCAAACACTGAGATCACATTTTTAAATTACTACTCTGTATTTTCCCACATAGCATGATGTAGTGGTAAATAAAATAATAATGATAATATCCATATGCACATGGATATTAATTTACTCTACTTCCTTGTCTAAAATTGAGCCTTTCTTATTGGCTAAGAGCCTTTTGTGCTTTTTAGTGATATATAAACTGTTGAACCAATGACCAATTTTCAATTGTCTTCCTGGGCCCATACAGAACAGAGACCTAAATCTAAAAACTTTTTTGAGCTTGCAGTTTTTGAGATAATTGTTTTATAATTATTTTTAGAATTATGAGATTAATATTTACATATGTAAGGATTAATCTCATAAATATATATTGTATAATAATATTTAATTATATATAATATATATACAGATTTTCTTCCAGCAATAGATGTCATATACTTCCAATCCTGCTAGAATTTAGAAGCATTTTGACCTTTACACACAAAGATATTTTGTTTTTGATTTTTCCATAAAGAAAAATCACATAATTTAAGTAAGAACATAGCTCCTAAAGAAGTCAAATTCATTACTGTGTAATTCATTTATTCTCTTTAAATAAACACTGTCAGCCTAAGTGATGTGCATCAGATATTTATGAAATCTTACAACATTAATGATATGTGTTATGAAATAATATTATATTACTACAGCATAAAGCATTTGGCTTGAGCATTCCTTTCTGTGTTAGGTATCTGAGGCTGCAGTAACAAAATGCCATAAGTCAGATGAGTTATGCAGAAATGAAGTTTTAATTTTCTCAAAGTTTGGTGGTGGTGTGTCTAAGATCAAGACAGTGCCCTGTGCTCTCTTCATTCCTAAACTTTTCCCTGTATTTCTGGTGTCTGCTGGCATTTACTGCCTCTAGAGTTTTACCTTTTCCAGGATGTTATATAGTTTGACTCAAACGGCATGTAACATTGTAAGACGATCTTTAACTTTCAACAATATGCAGTTAAGAATATGTAGCTGATAGTTAATTTATTTTATTGCTGTGTAATGCTCCATTATTATGGATGTATCATAATTTATTTACTCACATAATAAAGGGCCTCACGATTATTTCTTATTTTTCACAAATGTAAATAAACTTACTATATTTGTGTGCAGATTTTCGGGTGCACATAGATTTTCATTTCAATTACATAAAAGTGAATAAATGTATTAAGTATTTAGATTAGAATTTATTCTCAATGAAAATTTATTTAGATCAGAATCTAGCTTCAGACCTCATACTTTCCATAAGAAAATAGCTCAAAATAGATCATAGACTCAATGTAAAGGACAAAATTATATAATTTCTAAAAAAAAAAAAGTAAGTCTAAGTGACTGGATTTTATCAGAGGCAGAATGGTATGGATTAAATATTTATGTCTCTTTCAAAGTTCATATTTTAAAGTCCTAATCCTCAGTGTGATGGCATTTGGAAGTGAGAATTAATTTGAGAGAGAATTGATTCATGGTGGTAGAAGCCTTGTAAATGGGATCAGTACCCTTAAAACAGAAGATCTCTTTTTCTGCCATGTAAAGATACAGAAAAAAAAAAATCCATCTACAAACCAGGAAAAGAGCTCTCAGCCTTGGACTTCTTATCCTCCATGGGCTTTGAGAGGGTTAGATAGATAATGTAATAACTGAAGATTCAGGGAGAAATAAATTTATGCTGTCTAAGCTGTCCTATAGTGCTTTTTATAGTAGCCTGTACTAAGATGTCTACCCAAAATATACAAAGAACTCATAAAACTCAAGAAAACAACAAAATTACAAAGTGGGAAAAGATCAGGATACGGTAGTAAATGAGCACAGATGGTAAATACATAAGCACGTGTAACAACTTGTTTTCATGGCTACATGTTAGAGCTCACTATTATCCCAAAAGTCAGGTCCTCTGCATTTTTACAATTCTTTTGCACACCCAGCTACAATGCTGCCTTTGTGCTTTCAGTGAAATGGTTTCTCAGTCCCCTTTGGATCTCCATCTACTTGCAGTTTTTTGTCACCTGGTTTATCAGGCCTCTTCATTCAGGATTCTGTCATTAGTCATTCAGGTCAAGTCTTGCATTTGGTAGCCTGCCTTTCTCTCAAGTCATTTTTGCTACTCTCTAGTCAAAGAACAGGATCAGGTCAAACAGAGAGAGAGAGAGAGAGAGAGAGAGAGAGAGAGAGAGAGAGAGAGAGAGAATGAGAGAGAGAGAGAAAGAGAGGAGAGACTTGAGAACTTCTGGCTCTTTATGGATACAGAAACAAACAGAACTATAGTGTGCGAATTAGTGTTAGAAACCTGGCTGGAGAAATAAGCAGAGGTCAGATATTGTTTAGAGAACTAAAATATTTAGATATTTCATTTAAATATCAAAACATTGTCAAATATTTCTGTGTTTTATTTAAATATCTAAATTATTTAAAAATATTCAGAGAACTAAAAGTTTTATTCTATGGACAACAGAAAGTAATCAATAAATTTAAAGCAAGAGAGTAAACCTGATTTATTTTTTAAAAGATACAGGTATTTAGGATAAATAAGATCTGGGACAAGACTGAAGTTAGTCAAAAACAAAACAAAACAAACAAAAAACCAGTAAGGAGGATATTTTAATAACCATGTTGAGAGATAATGAGTATTCAGACCAAGATAGTAGCCACAGAAAATGCTCTCGAGAGATGCTTAGGGGTCAAGATTTGGTGACAAATTACATGGGCTTTGAGAGGGTTACAGAGATGGTGCAGTCACTGAGATATGATAGGTAGCTGACACTTGGAGCACAAAAGAAAGGCAGAGTTGCAGAGACATGCCGTGTGTGACATGCCTGGAGCAAGAATGTCTGGTGAATATGTCCAGTACATAAGTAGAAATGTATGTTGGACGTCTGAGGGTGAATTCTGGTATCAAGATGTAGATCTTAGAACCTGCAGTGCAGTAGTTGAAATCATGAGGACAAAGAGCCCTTCAGATCTCCAATCTGAAATGCAAAAATAGAATAAAAATCAGCACAAAAAATCGAGTATGAATTAATCAAAGGCTGAGGAGGAGGATGACCAGAGAAAGTAAGGGAGGAGAGAGTTTTCAATGAAATCATACACAAGAGATGGACTAAAATTTGGCAGAAGAGTCATCATGAAATCTGTTTTATTAGAAATGATTTTTTTATCCATTCCTCAGTTGATGGGCATTTGAGTTACTTCCATGATTTAGCTATTGCAAATTGTGCAGCTATAAACATGGGTGCACGTATATCACTGAGGTATGATGTTTGTAGATCTTCTGGAAAAGTACCCAAAAGGGAAATAGCTGGGATGGATGGGACCTGTAGACCTACTTTACTACGGAATCTCCAAGCTGATTTTCATAGTGTTTTCACCAGTCTACACTCCCACCAACAGTGGAGAAGTGTTCCTTTTTCTCCACAGCCTCACCAGCATTTGTTATTGACTGATTTCTTGATGATAGCCGTTTTTACATGATGGGCTATTACTCAGCTATAACAAAAGATAAACTTGAGGTTTTCATAGGTAAATGGATGCAACTACAGTCCCTACTCATAAACAAAATAAATCAGACCCACATGTATAAATATTGTATCGTCTCACTACTGTAAGAAACTGAAAGAGTAAATAAAATCGGAAAGGTATAATAGATATTGTGAAAGGGAAAGAAACTGCTCAAAAGGAAAGAACAACTGGGATGAGGGAAAAAAGAAAAAGAAAGAAGGGGAAAAATATATATATATACACACAGGATAGCTAAGAGAGTTGTACTACTGATTTCTATTGCATTATTGAAAGACACAGTTAATGTTTAATTGTTTGATCAATCTTACATGCCTATATTTGTTTAACTGAGTAACCAATTTAAGATAACAATAGGTAAGAACCAACCATTGTTAGTTTCCTGTCACCTTGTCTGAAATTCTGTGCCACTTTTATTGTTTATGTCTTCTGTTTGTTAATTTTTTTTGTTCTTTTATATTTAAAATAAAAAAATAGTTATTTTTTTACAGACGACTTTGAAGGGAAGAGAATCAGTGAGATAACACAGCTGAATATAAGAAGAAGGCAAAGCAATATTTTTCTAATGAGAAAAGTGTAATTAGAGTGTGTAGTTAATAAATATATAATTATGAAGTATAAAATAAAAACAATTAGTATTATAAATGTTAGTGATAGATTTGTGGTATACTTAACTTAGGTATAATGGTAAAATGCAGTGCCAAGTCCTAAGATTTACATGTCATCACAAAACACTCAAAAACAAGTTGCCAAAGTAACTTGAATTGTCTCCAGTAACATGCAAAACACCGTCTTCTGCACTCTGGAATTATATGAAGTTTAATGTGTACATTTACTTCCTGATGAAGGTCATCGAACACTGTTTATTGGAGTTCATGTGCCCCTGGGAGGAAGAAAAAGTCATCGACGTCACAGGCATCGTGGTCATAAACACAGAAAGAGAGACAGAGAGAGAGATTCAGGATTAGAGGATGGAAGAGAGTCACCTTCTTTTGGTAAGCATCATTCTTCTTGTTTTTATTAAATTTATGATTGTAATAACATACATCTATAGTCCATAATTATTAGTGATACCTGATATTCATAAAATTGTAAGATTTTGGGCAGATGGGGAAAAGAGGAAGAGAGAACATTTAATTTTTGTGTTTCATTTATGAATCTGCTTTGTGAAATTGAAAATTGATTTATTTTTATGATACAGGTAATTTAAATAAACAATGGCCTTTGCCTTAAGTAGTTTGAAAAATCCAAGGGAAAATGCCTTTATTAAGTTTCTGTTTACACTAACTATTGCTGATGCTGTCCACACTTCACCTTGATTTCGAATATTCTATTTTGAGAGTTCTTTGAAAGTGTATATGGAATACCAAAATATGTGTTTTTGTTTTTTTTTTTTAATAATTCTTGAATACCATGAGAACCAGTATACTTGATATAACCAAGAATCTAGCTTTGTGCTCCTTGACCTTCTTAAGTTTTATGACCATCTTTGTCCCTCAATTTAGCTCACTTATTCAACCATAATTTTTCTACCTTGGGTCACTAATCCACTCACCTAGTTCTTTGATGGTAGCTTCTTTCCTTCTTGGTTTCTTGCATGACTACTTAACTTCTCTACTTTTTAAAGTTATTGTTTTTTCTGTCTCTTATACTATTTTGATTTCATAACCAGTCATTTGATTACTACTTTGCCAGTATTCTAAGCACAATAGGGTCTCTGTTCAGTTTTATTCATACCTTTATCCCCGCCCCCTTAAAAAAGCACACTTAAATCGAGGTTCCTCCATGTCCCTGCTTTGGCTTTGCCTTGTCAAGTAGACACATAAAAAACCAGTCATTCATCAGGCAGATTGTAACCATTATAAATTCATGATCCAAGTGAATCTTCATCTCCTTTCAGTTTTATTGCATTTCTTTGGTTTTTATGTGATTACTTTTCAACTTTACTCACCATTCTCTGAAATCCTACTTTTGCCATTTAGTAGACTATCCTGCCTTCTACTAAAACAGAAAATACATAATGCAAAAGAACTCACTTAACTTTCCATCTATTAACATATAAGTCTATAGGTCTGTATCTCAAAAATCTTCTGTTTTTTTCTTAAATCCATAACTAGTTTCTATTATTTTACATCATTATTAGAAATGTACACAATTTCTAAATGAATGGACTTCTTCCTTTCAGCTGGATTATTCTCAATGCTTTTAAAACATGATAGAATCTCCCCAGTTTTAAATAGTTCCTCAAACTTCCTCAAACCACATTCTCCATTTAGTCATTTAAATATGAAGCAGCTTAAATGTATGTGAAAGTTAATGGAAGTTGTTACAATGTTACTTTTAAAATTTTATAGATTTTTAAAATTCAATATCTGTTTTTATTGTGTTGCAGAGAAATTTAATTTCTACATTTTTTCTTTTAGCTTTATGTCTTTTAAATCTGAGCACTTAGGCTTTTTTGTGTTTCCTCTTAATTAAGACAACTTGTTGACATAGATCTAATGGTAGGTGTACTAAAAGCATTCCCAGTCTGCACACTTTGACATTTTTCCACTTAAGGAAAATTTTCCTGTTATATCTGATTCTATTCCATTTATTTTGATCTCTTCACTGAGAATATTATAATTTATATTTTTGATTTCCAGAGTCTGCTCTTTGAACTTTTCCGCCATTAAAGTTAGTCTTTCATATCACCTTTCTTATTATCTGCAGTATCAGTTCTGCAATTCATTACTTCTGCAATAGGTTTTAATTTGCTGCTGTATTTTTAGTTTTTTTGAATTTCTTTCTTATCTCATCTTAGTTTCCTTACATCTCCTCTTCTTTTCTTAATTACTTTTTTCTTTTTCTACTTGATAGGATGTATGTTTTATAGTCTACTGAGGGTCCCTAGCTATTTCTGGGCATGTCCTTTTTCTACTAAAATAAATAACTTTCAGACTTATGATCTCTCTTTGGTCTGACAGGGATTATTTTTACCCCTCACTGATTTGTATTTTCTACAGACTCCTGATATTTTTGTTTTTGCTTACTTTTAAACTAAGCAAGGTATATCTGTGCTATATTTATCCAGCTATATCTTAAGATGGCCTATGCTGCTGATATCAGTAGGTTGTGTTCATTGTTGTCTAGAGTTATTGATATTGAACTTCTCCAAAAACATGTGCTTCTGCCAGAGGTAGAATGATTGTTCGAGGAGCACATGAAAGAAAGTACTGTAGGCATCCTGGCCCTGTGTGATAGAAGGACAGTTGTCTGTGAGTCCTTGGGCAAACTCACATCATCAGGTATTTTCTGTTTAATGAGGTAGAATCTACTGTTGAAGTTACAGTGGATAGATGGGCAGAATTTTTTCTTAGTCAGGATCCATTTCAATATAATTAGTAAAGACTACCTGTTAAGACTCTAAGAATGATTTACCTTTGGATTAAGCTTTAATGGTAGCTCTTCATCATTTCTCATGTTTAAGAAAATATATTAACATCATCTCAAATTATTTTGTAAACAAGTTATGTTTATTATAATTTGCTGATTTCCTCTGCCTCTACTTTCTTTTTCTTTTTTTCTAAAGCTGGAAGCATTATGTCAGTGTTTATGGTTTTAATCAAGAATGTTTACCAAAGGCTTTATGCCCTCATAGGTGGCTATTTGGGCAGGTAATTGAATCCTAGGGCTATATAGCTGACTTGCTGGTAGAAGGTGAGGCCTAGTCTGGCAAGGTGGGTCCCTGGTATCATGATATACTTGGAAGGGTTTATCTACCTCCTTCACTCCTCTCTTCTTATCTTGCTTCCTGGCCACAATGAGGTGAGCACATTTCCATCCGTATTCACCATGGCTATGCCATTCTGCCTTGGAACCAGCAGATCATAGACTACTTGCAAGCCAAAGTGAACCTTTCCTCTTTTAAGTTGAAGGTATCTGGTATTGTGTTCCAGGTAGGAAAACAGTGACTAATACTATTGTTGTAGAACATTCATTCTAGATAATGAGTATACTTGAGAATTCTAAAATCATATTAATGACCAAGCCCCGTGATAATCCAATCTCTGTGCCTACAACTCAAACATGGATATTTATTATTATTATTATTATTATTATTAACCAGGAATTGAACTCAAGGCCTAGAACTTGTCAGACAGGTACAGTTCCACTGGGCTACTTCGACAGCCCCGAATCAAGAATATTAGAAAAAGAAGTATCCTAGATGATTATATTGTGCAGCGTGGTTGAGACCTACTGTTCTAGGAACTTTACTATTCAATGTTTGATCTACAAACCAGAAATACTAGGGTCATAGTTGAGCTTGCTAGAAATATAGAATCTCAGGTCCCAACCCAGACATCTTGAATCAGAATCTGTATATTAATTATGTTCTTTGATTATATATGTAAAAATTTGGCAAGCAATGCTGTAGAACAGTATTTGTCAAACAATGTTCCACATTAGAATATGCCAAGGAGCTTTAAGTAAAGAGATTGATGCTGGATCCTGCCTCCAGAGACTTTTATTTAGTATAGCTGGGGTCTTTCCTTAGGGAATAGTGTTTAAAATAATAGTCCTAAATGCTTTTAATATCAAGAACCACTGGTCCTAAAAAATTTCTCACTCTTCTTTTGGTGAAAGTTGGAAATAAGTTCAGTGGCCCAGATTCTACCCTTTAATGTGTCATCCACTATTTTTGGATTCCAACAACCTCTTTTACCCTCTAAGTATCTATTACCATCTAACTAAGTGTCTTTGTTGATGTTAGATTTAAGATCTGTTTTATCAGGGACTACTCTTTGACACCTTACTGGTTTCTAAGCAGTATGAAAAGTATTTTATTTTCTGTTTCTTTAGGGTTAATAATTTGCCTTAATCTTTATGGCATAGTCATTTTAGTTGTCTTGATAATCAAGCACTCATTCATATGCTGACACTGAAACCAAGTTTTAAACATAATCTGTGATAGTTAATCTTGCCTGGGAGGTCTGGGAGCCTCCCAGGAGATTAGTAAAGCATAGTTTGGGGCATTTGGGTGGGTCATGAAGATGTGACCTTTGGTACTATATCTGGCCTCTTTTCTCTGGCACTGTTTCCTTACTTTGCTTCCAAGCACCATGAACTAAGCAGCTTTGCTCCACCGTATTCTTCTGCCGTGATCTCCCTGCCCTGGAGATGGCCAAACATGGGCCGAATACCCTGAAACTGTGAGCAGAAATAACCTCTTTTTCCTTTAAGCTGTGTTTGTTGGGTATTTGGTCCCAGTGATAACAATTGACCACTATACTATTCCTCTTGATTTTGGATTTGATATCCTGCCCAGTGATGATTGCAAGATTTCTATACTGAAAGTAATATCTGACCACTGAATAAATACTTTACTTGGAAGGATTCTAATATCTTTTGAACATCTTACTGTACGTGTCTCAAAATTTCAGAATTGAACTTCCGAAGAGAAATAGGATTGAGGAGAACTCTTGGGAGCCTCATTTCCTTCTGCTGAAAATTTGGAGATTTTATGTTATAGATTGGAGTGTGGGTCTATGAAGACATGGAATAATTTGGGCATAAATTTGTGGAACAAACATCAATTTTACAAAAAGTCTTTGAAGAAATGTTTGCATTTTGATACTCTAAAAAGTCATTGGGTCATGTATAAAGATAATATATGAATAATGTCTGCAGAATCCTACTTTATTATATGACCCAATCATGTAATACAGCACTGTTAGAACCTGGTTATATTAGTGCTATGTCTGAGTACAAGAAAAGGCCTTCATTAAGCAAAAGAGATTATATTTGTGTCACAGATATGGAATGACTGGTTCCAGTTCACCAGATACAATAGTTGGAATGTGATTTCTAGCTGAGTTCAAAGACAGACCCATCTTTTTGGTTGGGTAGTATTGTGGTGATGATGTTTTCATTATACCAAATTTCTGAAACCTGAAAGTGAGTCCAGTTTGATACTCTAATTAATAAATACGAGTTTCCATAAACAACTGGATTA